CAGTGAGTTGTTAGATCAGCCCAGGTGTGTCTGAATCCCCATCCTGAAGTGCCCTACCCTTGCAGTTTCACTTGGCTGCATTAAGCTTGTCCTAAAGTCTTTTGGTGCTATGTTGCACAGTGCTCACACTTTCCTAAAAGATGCCATTCACTCTACCCAGGAAGGTGCATACTTTGCCTATGAGAATTTGGCACATAGATACAAGTTTATCTCAGGAATCCAGTGTTTCAAAGAAGAGATCTTAGAGGTCGGGACACCAAGAACAGAGTGGTTCACAGAAACACAAAGTCTCATTTTCACACATCTCAGCAGCAGCACAGAGAAAGTTAAAGCATGGTGCTGGCATATTATTTTTAATTAGTATTGCATCCCCAACACACTATGACCTCCTTTTTGCTTTGCTACATATGTGTTTTATGATGTGTAACCACTCAGCATCTGCTTCTGCCATTTATAAATTGTCTACAGTGGTGCTGCAGGGCTATACACAGGTGTGGGGAAGAGGAGGCTGTGCTGCCTCCCAATTCCTCCCTCATGCAGCTTGTAATTCCCATGTGAAACTGCTCCTCTGCCTACCTGTGCACACCTCTCAGGGGGCACCTGGAAGTTACTGATGTTTGAGAACTGCTTTAAGATCTTTGGATGAAAGTACAATTGAATATAAACTGATACATTTAATTTTTGGGTTGGTGTAATCCTCATAGAAGTGAGGAAAGGTTATCATAGCCAATATCTACTTCCATCTGACCCTCACACACAGGTGAGGCACTTCTTGCATTGCTCATGGTAGTGCAGAGAGCAATTTGACACACCTGAACTGTTTACCTCTGGCAGTATTTAACTCTTGTTAGGAGTTTTAGGCGAGCAGAGCTGCTGCAGAAAGGTTTCAAAGAGAGGCTCAAGCCTGCTGCTCACCAGGTATTTGTGTGCCAAAGATGGGACAAGTGGAGAGTGGGTTGGTGTAGTCCCTGCTCCTTCTCAGCCTGGGTGATAGGTGATGAATGAGGTTGGTCTGTAGTGGGGTACAGCCTACATCTCCCTGGTCTTTAGTGCACTGAAGAGTCTTTTTTGCTCTGGGAAAGGTAAGTCCTTGAGCTCTGGAGATAAAAGGACTTGGGGAGATTGTGTCCAAAATATGGTATAAAGTGATGATCTGTGAGTGTTCTCCTGGTGCTCTTGAAATTTAAAACTCATTTGCTGTGATCAAAAGTGTATTTGCTTAGAAGAATTATGTATGGGTAATGGTCTGAGAAGCTGGTCATGTGTCTGGTTACTCTGGAAAGTAAATTCTTTAGTTTACAAACTGCTACTGACTGGGAAACAATCGCAGAGATGAGTCTCTGTAATTCTTCACCCTGACAGTGTAAAACTGCTTTACTTGTAACCATATTTCTTCCTTAAAAGCAAGGAAATTATGATTTTCAGGAAGGAAAGGAAGAAATTAATACTGCTGTGGTCCTAGTTCTCCATTTCTATCCTACTAAAAATCCTATTGTGCCTGTAGTATTAAGACCTAAGGAAGGCAAAAGGAATAGCTTTATCAATCACCTGGATGTGGTTTTGTTATTAGCAGATACAGTTGTATCCTGGTTCTTCTGATCAAAAAGCCACACAGTAATGTCTAATTAATCCAGGTTTGACTGGTACTATCTATGAGTTGTCCTCCAGCTTTGTATGTGATGTAACTCTTGGATATTTTTCAGATATCTAGATCCAATTGCTAAGGCAAGATTGAAATTCTGTTTTGTTTTTGCTTGTTGGCTTGGTTGTTTTTTAATTGCTTAATGTGCTTGGGCAAAGGAAGAACAGATGTTTGGGTGCCTTTCTGGTTATATGTTGTAATTAGGAAAACCTTTGCTATCTCTCAGAATTAGCCTGCTAGTTCCTGATATCAATGTGGCATTTGTACTCTGATTTCATGAGAAGACACATGCCAAATTCTGTGCTAGTTACTTGGGTTAAACTTAAATAGCTGAAGTTTTGTGTAAGATTTCCTGTTCCAGGGGGAAATGATACCATGATGGGATTTAATGAATTGGGGACCTACAAAAGCAACATAGCTCACAAAGTGCTTGGTCAGCTGAACTGCTTGTGCTGCAAATGGTAAAAGTTCTGCTGCTCCTCCTTTCATAGGCATGGCCAGAACCTGCAAATTAGTTTTCATAATGAAAATGTGATATTAGACATAAATGGGAAACATGTGCAGTTGTGTTGGATTGCAATTTTGGAATGAATGCCTAGTTGTGATCCCAGGACTTTTGCATTAGTTTTGTTCATTTTGAAGGCTATCAGTGATTTCTCTGGTTCAGGCTCAGACCCTAATTAAAACACTGAGCTTAGCATGGCACTTGGAGATATGCTACCATCTTGCTGAGGAAAGAACCTTGCCTGCTGTTTGATTTTTGAGTTCTGCTGGCTGGTAAGATTAGCTCTTGATGTTAAGTTAAATAAGTGGTTCAATTATAATTTATTTATATCTGTGTAATTCACGATTCATAGCTTGAATCTGGGTTTTTGGGGCTTGTACTGCAGATTCTCTCTCATTCCAGGAGTTTTCCAACCATCTGCATCTGGTGCTTAGGGCTGGGGAGCAAAGCAGGGGGTGGTGGTGAGCCCCAGTAGTGCTGCTCTGTGCTGGGCTGGTGTTCTGGGAATGCCCCTTTGCCCAGGGCACGAGGATCCATCTCACCCCTGCAGCAATGAAAACACAGAGATCTGGATGTGAGGGAAGAACTGCCAACATGGGTGATGTTGTGGGACTTGCCTTGTACCCTGGGGAAGAAACGGAGCCCTTCTTTTGGGACGATCTGCAGAATAAACACTGGCATTTGTTGTCTCTGTAAGAAAGTAACAGTGACAAAACACAACCAATAAATGAAGAAAAAAGAGATAAGGAAAGATGAAGTAGTGAGACAGGAAAAAAGAGGTTGAAAGACAAAAGGTGAAAAGGGAGAGAAAGGTATCAGATTTCTTTTGGCATTCGTGTGTTCTGTATATAGAGTTTGAATATATTTTCCAGAAGAGGATTTCCCCTTGCATTTGCAATTCAAAGCTTCTAGCAAATTCCACTGTTTCCCTTGGCACTTCTTCACCCTCTGTGGATTTTCCAGTTCTGCTTTTTAGATGCAGTGCAATTGTCAAACTGTGCAGCTTTATTTTTTTCTCTTCCCTGAAGCAATGTGGCTTAAGGTGTATTCAGGCATTCCTTAAGTTTTTGGTTCAAAAACTGAACAAGTGGAGGGATGTTGTTCCCTTCCCTTTACAGTTTAATTCATGGATGGTCTTTAGGACTACTTGGATATTTGACAGTGTTTCTTGTCCTCCTTCACTTTATTCCCTTGCATGAATTAGTGGATAAAAAGATTTGGGATTTTCCATAGTATGAGTAGACGGTGATATGCAGCTGTTATATTCAAGGAAAATACCAGTAATGGGGTGGTTGGGACATGCTCATAAAGATAAATACTATCAAAGGGGATGATGTACTTAGGATAATATGCAGAGAAATAGAGTTGCTGCATTGCTGTCTTGGGAACACAAAGACTTCTACCCCACACAGCAGCTAATTCCATCTCCCCTGTGTGCCTATCCAAAATGTTGATTTTGGCCAGCCAGTTTGAAATCGCATCAATAAGAGGATAACAAATGTTGCCTAACAGTGAAGAGTACAGATGGTTGTTTGGTTTATTTTTACATCTCCTAGTGTATAAAATTAATGATTTTTAACAGAGCTTTGCTTTGCATGCACGCTGTTAACAAGCTGAAAACATTTCATATTTGTCAAAGCAGGACCGCAAAATAAAACTGTGATCACTAAAGCCTGGGTATCTGGAGAGAATCTTTATGGTGGAGAGCAGAGAAGTAACTAACATGTGGCTCTTCAAAAGCCCACATGCAGTGAAGATGTGTTAAGAAAGTGAAAATTGTTTCAACTTGTTCTGAGGTGAAGTAGGATCCTGCTAATGGATCCATTACACACATGCAATAAGGGTTTTCCTAATCACTGCTGTGATGCGCTGCTGAAAGTATTTGGGATAAGCTGCAGTAATAGCTAATTGTATGTGGAGGCCCAGCAGCTCCACCAGGCAGAGGGATTCAAAGGGCTGCATGGGAGAATTCACTTCACAAGAGGCCCCTTTCAGACACTCTCCAGGTTTGGAGCTCCTTTCCTTTTAGTACACATTCTGGGAAAGCACTTTTATAATCCTCCTTTAGAGTTATTGCAAGCGAATGCGGTGATGGTTCAATGAAAAAGCATGAAAACAGTAATGGAATTTCTTTTCTTTTTTCTTCTTTTTTTTCTTTCTTTCCTAATAGGCCCTTTAGAAAGTCAGACCATATGTGTAGAAGCCTTATTAACTAGAGGCCAGGTTTCGAAAGAACTGTGGTAAATTACCGAGATGAATTTGAAAATAAACCTAGAAAACGCAGATTTGAGTTCTAAATTGGTACTTAAAAAAAAAATAATCAGACCTATAATTGCTTGGTGTCTTATGACATTTCAAATAATGTTTGGTATAATTCTTATAAGACTGAAACTTATTAGGCAGAAAAAATGTAAGGGGATCATTAGAATGCTTTCACTTTGAAATAGCTTTCTTAGAAGGGCACTACAGTTTTACATTCCCTGTATTTTAATACATTTATTGCAGAAAATGATTTTTTGGTAGGCTGTGTAAATGTTCTGGATGATCTACATGTGAAATACATAAAAGCATTACACTGTTTTATGTAGCTGAAACTTAGAGGAAGCTGGGGGTGGAGGGAGAAGGCATTGCTTCTCCCTCAGTGCAGAAGGATTTAAAAAAAATAATTCTAAAATATACTTGGTTTGCAAAATGTTCTCTGTTTATGCTTGTTCCTAACTTGTTACAGGCATGTGCATTGTAGGGCTGTATTTTGGGTTGGTTATTTTTTATTTTTTCCTAACGGTACAAGTAGAAAGGATGAAGAACTCAGAGAAACAATGGGCAAATCTTATGAAGACTTTTATTCCCAGTTCAAATCAAGGACTCTTTTCAGATATGATCTTAATTTCCTGTGGATTAAATGACTTTTGTTCAAAGGTCTCCAAAACCTGTAATTTTTGCCTTCTCATTCATCAGCTCTTCTGGTCACTCTGTGGAAGAGGGAAGAGAAGATCTGTTAATTGCCTGTCTAAATCAGATGGATGATTATATCATAACCTTGGGTGTGTGATGTATTTCAGAACAAGTGTGCACTATCTAGTGTGACTGTATTCTTTGGAAACATCATATTCATTGTTTTCCTCCCCAAACTGCTGTTAGATACAGCAGGGTCCAGCTGGTTGAAGCAATATTTTTTCTTTATTATCCATTAATAACCTTTTCAGATTTGCCTGTGAACCTGAAAACTCTTCTGACAGAAAACCTGCATAAGAAACATTTCAGTTCTGCAAACTATCTTCAATAAAAAACCCGTGTTTTTTAATTAATTACTGAATTAAATATCACTTATTACTGACATCTCTTGGAAATTGCCAACTAGACCATGTTTATGGGAAGTAATTTGAGAATTATCGAGAAGGATAGGCGAATTTTGCATATTATACAATTTCTTAGATATTATAAAATGCACATTAGTCTTTCTTCTAGATCATAAAATCCTTAAATATTCCATGTGTTTTTTAAAATTGATTTCTCATGTTGTAGATTTTAGCTGGCTGCAGAAGGGTAATGGTGACTGTTACATTTTAATTGTCCCGAGAGGTGAAAGTGGAACAACTTTGTCCTGTTATTTGTACTTTGCCTTCGGGACTTAAATTTTCTACATGTTCCTGCAGATAATGATTAAGAATTTGAAATGTTTTGGGGTTTTTTTCCAAATCCTTATATGCAAAAACGTAAATTGGTGAGCATGTCTAAGATGGCAAGGAATATCTGCCTTTTTTTTTTTTTTAGTGCACCTTAAAGATTGGACTGGGAGCCTTTCCCAAATATCCTAAATTACAGAAAATGACAACCTTTCAGTGGATAAATTAATTTAATTAATCAGTTTTTGCTGTAATAAAAGGCAGTGTTTATCTAGAAATGTGTTTTTCCCTGTTTTGGTCGTTTACTGGTCATGCAAATTGAGCACAGCTCTGTTTCTTGTGGTATCACACAAATGAGTTAGAAATTCTACTGTGAATTAACACAGATTTGGCTACAGATGGAACGGCAGGCAAGTCGTCATCAATATTGTTTAAACCTATTAATGTTTACAAGTGTTGTTTTAAATCAGATTTGTTTTTAAATAGGATGATTGTGAGAATCCTTTTGTATTTCAGAGATCAAAGAAAATGAGAGAAGAGTCAGTTGTGGCACAATTGAAAAAAGTGAAAGATTGCAATATAGTATCTCTGCAAAGATTTCACTGATGCTTGTGGAAAAAAGATTGTTTCTATGATTACTGTTTGTAGAATTATTAGTGAAAATCCCAGTAGTACTTATTGCCTGAGCTGCTGGAAAAATGGATGGATTGAGTTGTTAGGTGTGGAATATAGTAAACTCGTTGTGTAAAAGCCTTTGATTTCTCAATTACTTCCAGCTTATCTTAATCAGGACACTGATTATTGAACTCCCAATTTAGTCTGAATATCTACTCTCTTACTCTCTCCTAGATGTGACTGAATCCTGTTGTATCAATTTATTTTCTTCGAGAGAAGTCTGATTATAAATGTGGGCTGAGGAGCACGTTCAAAGGCCTCTGCAGGCATTGGGAACTTGGGGTTTTGGAGTCCCAAGTGTTTTGCTGCTGATGAGATAATGCCACGTTTGGCAAACAGCTGAACACGGCAGGAGGTGAGGTTTGGCCTTGGCACAGATATCAGATGGTGAAATTGTATAAAGCCCCACCATTCTGAGCATTAACATGGACACTAACTTCTGCACTCAATTTTTTTTCATGGACTCAATAGAAATTTTCCTCTCTGCCAGTCTTGTTTGTATTTTACAAGTAGCAGATAAATGACTGTTGAAGAAAATAAACAAAACAAATCCCCCAGGCTACAGCTCCCAAAGAGATTCTTCTTTTCTAAAGGGGAATTTAATGAAAGGTAACAGTTTGTGTATGAAATGTATTTTTGCTTTCTAATTAGAGTTCTAATTAAGTGACAGAATTGTCATTTTTTGCCTACTGGGCAAAGCTTTACTTATATATTGGAGATTTAACTTATTTTCCTTTTTTCTGCTATGAAATTCCATCCTCTGAAGCGGAATATTGATAAAGTGAGAGGGGTTACTCACAGATCAAGTACATCTCAGCAGGCTGTCCATGCTTTCTATGAGCTTTGATTTGGGAGTGATTAGTGCCATGTCTGGCAAACTAATGCTAATTTAAAACTCCTTCTGTTCTTGACCCCAATTCTCAAGAGTTCATGGAAGGTACCTGTTGCAACAACAGTGTTTGTAATGCAGGCACACACACATTTAGAAAAAATTCTGAGCACCAATCAGCAAGTAAACAACTTCTGGTCTTTTCTGATTGTTGCCCATAAAGAGGTTTATAAAGAAGAAAGAAATGAGACTTCTGAGAAGCCTTGGTTGATTAAGAGCTTTGTTATTTGTATAACAGCAATAAACACAGGACTGCTGAAAATTAGGAACTTAACTGGTCATAGTGCTGGCATTTGAAACTTTAGGACACTTTGAGATCAGGCTTCAAAGGTGATGCATTTGGTAAATATAACTGCTGTTCACTACTGAAATGTAATAATGAAACAACAGGACAGGGTATCCTGGACTTGATGGGATTAGCTACTACAGACAGGTTACATGTGAATCCCTTCCTTTTATTGTTTTAGGGAGTTAAGTCCTGTTTGACAGTTTTGCTTCTGGAGGAGTTTTTTTCATGATCAGTCTCTAACATCTGCCATTCAACTTGTTTCTGCCTGGCCAAGAAATTGCAAGGAATTCTGCTATGTTAGAGTAGTTACATCACTGCAGAGGGAAGATTGCTGAACCTGCAAGCCCCTTGTTTCTGCTGTGCAAGCATTCAATATTTCATGTGATAACTTTAATAAATTTTGTGCTTCTGTTTAGAGAGATGAGCTTACTAATGAAACAGATATTTAAAAGTTATTTTTAGTGAACATTTAACATGGCCAGGGCAAGTTTTAGGCAGGTTAGTAGGAGGTGAGAAGTTTGCAATGTCCTGAGGCATCCGCTTCCACTGATCTTTCATATGTGATTAAATTGCTGCTTCTAGATGTAAATCTTGCCAAATAGCTGCTGGCTTTTTTATATAAATTACACAGATGTAACAGGGCAGAATAAACTTGATAAGCTGTATGAAGGCAAAGTGCAAGTTGCTTATGCTCTTCTTTTGGCTAATTGCTTCTATTCACTGCTTAGCAAGAGCTCTCTCCTGTCTTTTTACCGCTGTGAATTGCTTTGCGCATAAGCAGCTAGAGCTTAAAGAATATTCTTTGTAGGAAGATGCAGCAAAACACTTCTGCTTCTGTTCTTTGCCCTGTTTTTATTTATTTTTAAATGCAAGACAGTTTTATCCTGCTCCTTAATCATGGGGTTCCTTTTCTGCTAGGCAGTCTTGGCTGATGTGTGGATTAATGGTCTCACTTGTGAGACTGTGGAATGGGAAAAAGCAGAGTAGCAGGTAGCAATGTCAAATGACAAGCAGTTTAAGCAGGAGGGTCAGAAAAGCTGGAGAAGAAATGGGGCTGCTGTGCTGCATCCTGCTGTGTAGGAAATGTGGTGGCCCAGGAGTGAGTGTACAAATACATCATCTTTCTGCAGCAGCCTTGCTGTGTGAGTGCTTTTGCCTGAGACCTTCCTCCTGCCATTTCTTTGGAGAGGTACAGGAAGTGACAGCAGGGAGAAAGAGCTCTCCTCTCTGGTGTGGAAGTCTGTAATTATTGCCTTCCCCATCCATGATGGTGGTGTATTTTTAAAGGTACCTTCTCCCCTCTGGGAAACAGAATTAAGTGCCCAGCTTGGCCCTTTTTTTAAGGTGATCTTGGAATGTATGGCAGCTCTGAGACCAGGCACTGTGTGCTGAAGCCATTTAGTCATTATGTCCTGTAATCAGAGGTAATTGCCTTGGGTGCTGTAGTAGTGTGCCATGTGAAACTGGGTAAACACAACTGGCCTAATAGGACTTTAGTTAGTATGAATAATTAAAACATGAACAGAATGCATTCATGGAAACTTTCTAATTCTCCCACTCTGCCTTTTCACCTCTGTCTTGTTGTCCAGTGCTCTGAGGAGGGTGTCCCTGGCAGCCCCCTTGTCCTGTTTGCCTTCCCCCTTCCTTATGAGGTCAGGAGGAAATGGCAGCTGCTCTTCCTCATGGGGCTCCCAAAATGTAGTGGGGGTGAATGCTGCCAGTCCTCTCGGGAGGTGGTTCTGAGAGTAAACTCACACAGGTGGCAAGCCAGGGCTCTTCTCATACCTGGGGAACTGTGTACAAACTTCCTGCTGTTTTCAGGCTTATTCAGCAGCAATGTGAGGCAGGACTGTGGCAATGCTTGTGGCCACTGATCATCTGGCTTGGGACTGCAGTTTGCAGCTTTTGCTTGCAGGAGTTTGCATCAGAAGTTGACCCTAAACATTTCATCAGGACCAAAGTGACAAGTTTGTTTCCACAGGCAGCAGTGAGGCTTTGCTTTGTTCCTCCCTCCTTCACTACAGCCTCTCACCCGTATCCTCTCTGGGACATGGGTATCAGTGCCAATTTTGAACCAGTTTGAATTGTCAAAACACATCCTGCTGTCTGTAATTTATTTGTTTTTTAGGTGTCCTTTTGTTACACAGTATTTGTTTTGATTAGGAGTCACATCACTTGGGTCTGAATATTAATCTGAAAGTGATTCAGTTCTGTGCTAGTCTGATGAGTGTGTCTCACTGCTCTATAGCCCAGCACAGTTGTCCCAGTGATATCTCTTATTTCTCTCAAGATTTTGCTTGCTCTCTCTGAAGCAGGACACTTCTTAAAGGTAACTCCCATGCAGTCACACTTCCCATGCTAATCTTCCTGCTCCATACTGCAGCTCTGCTTGGAAAGAGGGGTTGAACTTCACTGGTGCTGAATGTAGATGACACCAAGAGCCAGCAAACTCGGGTCAGGGCACTGCGGTCTTTACAGCCCCAGCACGTGGGA